GAAGTGCCTGGGAAGTCCCTATGAACTACCTGCAGCCTGCAGGGCGGGCCAGTCTTATATAGTGCTGGCCCGTCCAGGAGGCTCCTCTTGCCAATGCCAAAACGTGCCAGACCCAAAATGGCATTGAAGTTCAAACAAAGGTTGTCTTGAAAACAGGCCCAAAATGGTGCAGGCACATGTGCCGCCATGAGCTCTGTGATGTGGACACGTGTACTGGTGTGGGCGCTGTCTGGGCGAGAGTGCTGAACTGGCGGGTGAAACGGATATGGTGATGATCTGCGCAGTACAATCCAGCGCTTGGCATACGTGCAGGGCTTGAAGGTGCTTGATCACGCCATGACACAGGCTGACGTGGCAGATGACCAGACTCGCGGTTTCTGCTGTGCGTCCCACATTGTTCTCCATGGCCACAGGCTCACAGCCGTGTTCCTGCACGTGGCATTTAGTGCCCTGGAGGTGTTGGCTTTGTTGATGCCTGTGGAGTTGGGTGGAGTGAGCTATGAAACCGTATGAGAGTGCATAAGTGCGAACGTGCGCGCTTAAAGACCCCCTCCCCCGCGCTCATAGCGCTTTAAGGTGCGCGCGCTCCTAAAAAAAGGAGCGCGTGTGCGAGTCATGGGGTTGCGCGGGAAAAAAAAGTTGTGTGGTTGCGGGTGATTTTTTTGGGGGGGGGGCTGGGTGGGGAAGGTGGTGGTTCTCTCTCTCTCTTTCTCCCTCTCCCTCTCTCTCTCTATGTATGTGTGTTTGTGTTTGTGTGTGTGTGTGTGTGCGCGTGCGTGTGTGTGCCTGTGTGTGTGTGTGCGCGCGTGTGTTTGTGTTTGTGTGTGTGTGCGTGTGTGTTGTGTGTGTGTGTGTCCATGTGCATGTATGTGTGTGTCTGCGTGTCACAGCGTGTGCGTGTGTGTGGAGGGAGCGGGATTGGGGGGGGGTCTGTGAGTGCCTTTTTTCTCTCGTTTTTATATATAGAAATACTTCAAAAAATAAAATAAAAAACATAAGGTTGTACATCTCAAAAATATCTACAACCCTGTTTTTTTTTTTTTTTTTCACTTATTCATTTCTTGGAAAACTATTATTCCCGCGCCCGCTCAAACCTCGCTCAAGCGCCTTTGAGCGCGGGATTGAGCGGAGCTCAAAAATTTGAGCTCTGACCCATCGCTCAATTAGCGCGCGGTAATGCTGGGAGTGAGCCCTCGAGTAACCGAAGTGCAAGATTGTCATACGATTGGAGAGTGCGGAGGACGACCATCAGGGAGCTGTTGTCCATCTGGGTGTTTGTTGTCTTCTTATATGCATTGTCTTTCGCAGGTCATCTCATTCTCATCAGCAAAGGCGCTGGGCAAGAAGCAACATCACTTCACCGTTCCTCAACAATTTGTAGTTTTCAGTGGTTAACCTTCATCGTCGTCAGCATCAATGCCGCGATCACACTACTGATTGGCGGCTCATCCTCTTCATCATCATCATAGTCATCATTGTTATCACCCATAATCAAGAAGATCTTCCACAGCGCTATGCGCCGTTGTCGTTAGGGCATCCACCACAGGGCGCTGTAAACTACAATCATCTGCATGACATATTCCGCCATTATCATGTTGTTGTCTTCTTCATCTGAACGCGGTTATCTTCTTCATCACCGCGTCAATTCTTCTCATGCGCCTTCTCGCCATCATCATATTCAGCATTGTCATCACGCTTTTCTCTTTAAGATCATCATCATTATGAGTTTTCCTCCGTACTTTTGTTCGTCTCCTTTTCCTATCCTATTGTATCTCTCCACCTAGAGGTTTAATTATTTCATCCTGGGGAGTGAAAGGTTGGTTCTGGAAGGAGAGCGCTACTCTGCAGGGGATTCACAAGGTGGGGGGTGAACTCCCTATAGGGAGTAAGTGCAGATTTTGGAGAATGCTCGCCTCTGAGGCGGGGAGAGATGTAGGGGCTGCCATCAGCCCCCAGCGGAGGCACATAAGAGCAAGGTATTGACTGAGGCAAGCTGTGGGGGGAACTGGATGCCTTAGTGGGAGAAGACGTGGGGATGCTGGACTGGCACTAGCTGGGGCCAATCAGGAGTGCTTATAATCAGCATACTCCTTTTTGGCGGAGGCAGGAAAGTGACAGAAAGGGGAGGACGGGGAAGGGAGGGGGGCGGGAAATTTTATGTTCGTCATCTTAGTCATTTCCATCATCATCGTTATGTTGATTACTGTCTCTCCCCCTATTTGCTGATGATTCACATTTGGCGAGATGGTAAGTTGGTTCAGGGGGAGAGAGCCCTACTCTGCAGGGGCATCACAAGGCGGGCGGTGATTGCCCGGTAGGGAGTGTGGGCAGACGTGGGGGGAAGTGCTAGTCTTGGGCTTGGATTATATCCCAGCGGTGGCAGATTAGGGCAGAACGGCTGATCAAGGCATACTTTGGTGGGAATTGGATGCCTTGTAGGGAGCAGGGAGGAAAGTGTGTCTGTCCTTTGTTGGGGCTGAGGAGAACTGCTTGTAATCAGGGCGGTGCTTCTTGGTGGAGGCAGCAAAAGAGCAGAAGGAGACGGAGGAGGGAGAGGGAGCGAGGAGGGAGGGGGGGCGAGGAGGGAGGGGGGGGGGTGTAATTTGTAATCTTTACATCTTCTGCATCTCGCTCGTCAACACTGGGGGCCTGTTCAGGAATCTGCGGACATCTTTTTCAGAATGTTGGTTGTCGACGTTAGACATTGTTAGAGTGACGCTGACCGGTGCTGGAGCATTGCCCTGTAACCTGGACACAGGAGCTAGAGGCCTTGTAGAGAGATCTGGCGATTACCGAGGGAGGAAGGTAATCCAGTGTCTGACCGTGGGCTACTTCCAGGTCAACGATGGGCTACTTCCAGGTCAACGATGGTCGGAGCTGGGGCAGGTAGCGCTGCCCTGTAACCTACCTTCTTCTCCCGAATACAGCGTACGGTCATTATAACTGCATTTAGACTGAAAGATACCCCATACAGCTATAATTACCGTACGTTGTGTTCGGGGGAAGAAGGTAGCTTGATTGGGGGTGTGAGACCGGGTATAGATTTGGAAGCAATGACATCATAGCTAGGTTTGGATTATGCTGGGGTGATAGGATTACCTGGAATTAGGAGTTTGAGAGGTAGAGTCCTGGTCTCACCATGTTTCCCTCATCGATCCCATCGCAGATAGGTTCTTTCCTAATCATCCTATCCTCCTATCCTCCTATCCTCCTATCATCCTAATCATCCAAATCGTCGAAATCATCCTCAAATCATCATTAATCTTGATCAATTCATTATTGAATTCTCATGGGATGCTGGGCCCAGTTCCCAGCACGTGATGCTCCCTACGAATAGATTGGAGCGTGTGTTATTAAAAATAGAAAGAAAAAATGGCGAGTACAGGGGTGATGAGCATGGGGGAGGAATGGTCGTTAGTCTCGCTAATAGTGCTGCAAGCAATCCGAGTGCCAGCAATGGCGGTGACTCGCAGTTGCACCGCCTTGCTCAACGTGGGGGATCGGATTTGGTGGGAAATCAGCTAATAGATGAGGAGGAAGATTCTTGGGCACGTCGTCTTACCCCCGTTGCTTATTTCGATGGCCATGTGTCAGTGCATTTGCTCACTATAACTGCTGCTGCGCTGTTCTGAAGCTATGGCTGGTGCCTCCCTCCCTGCATGGCTGGCACCTCCCTCACGCCATAGCTGATATCTGCCTCTCACCGTGGTTGACAGTTCCCTCTTGCTACAGCTGCCACCTCCCTCACTCGCGGCGTTGCTGGTAGCTCCCTCGCACCCGCTGATGTCTTTGCCCGGTGCTGCTGGCTTCTCTCTCTGGCTGCAACTGTGTAGCATTTTGGAAGGTGGAAGGAGGGGTGGTGTTCGTGCTGGTGGAGTGACGCCCGAGATCTGTATGGCAGGTATGGCGGTTGAGGCCGCGTTGCATAGTGCCCCCTCTCTCTGAAAGCGTCCAACGCATGTAGTGTGCTGTGTAGTTATGGGCGACGTCATTCACGTAGTCGCCACTCGCACACACACTGCGCCCTCAAAAAGACAAAAAATATGGCGTTGTATCTTTCCATGTTCTAGTGGATGATTCGATCCCATTGGGCATATTTGGTGAGCAGTGCAGTGAGGCCCGTTGCGCCCGACATATGTCCATGCACAGCGGGACTCGCCCATTTTCATCCTCGGTCCCCCGTTGTTGACCGGTAGGATTGGCCTGCCGGCACGTCGATCCGACCCTGTACCTCGTGCCGTGTCTGTCACCCACGAGAGGGTTGATCGGGGCTCCTGTAACCTGCAAGGAAACCGTTAGTCCACATCCACATAAATAAAGACTGGAACAGACTATAGACACAACCATGAGTCTCTCATAGTCCGCCATACAGAAGGAACAAAAAATATGTTTCCATTTGGTCCAAAATAATTGGGTTCACTGCGCTATTCCCCACCCCAGATAGATCCTGAGACCAGGTCGGGAAAATCAGTCTGAGTCCCAATTGACCTCACTAACAGTCTATGACGAATCCTCCGCTCGATGGGATGCCACCGGTAGCAGGCCAGCCGATCCCATGGAATAGTGCTCAAATTCTCGGTGTCTGAGGTAGACTCGAGGGCCCATCGTGGCCACTGTTCTCGATCAAGTTTCACCATGAGTCAGACAAAATTTCCCCTTCTCGTTGAAACCCATGCAGGTTTAGGTCTTGGCCAGTCTTACCCTAGTCCCAGCCTGGCCTCAAACGTGCAGTCCGGTTCGCAAACCCTGGTCTGACCCAAAAGTCCTGGTCTCGGTCAAAGACCCCAGTCCAGTTCAAAGTCACGGTCCTGTCCAAAGTCACCGTCCTGTCCAAAGTCTCGGTCTCGTTCGAAGTCTCGGCCTCGTCCAAAGTCCCAGTTCCATCCAAAGTCCCGGTCCCATAAGAAACTCCGGCCGCGATTAGTGTGCGCCAGATCTGCCTTGTGCGTGCAAGCACTATGGCTTATCTGTCGTTAGTGGCCACGTGCTTACGAGAGTGTCCGATGTCCCAGGGCTCCCGGCCCTGGTTTGCAACGGGAAGAACGTGATCCGGCCCAGACTGGAGACGACAAAAGAAGAAGTTAGCAGCAGCATAAGACTTGCACTCACGACCGTGCTTGGGAGTCGTTTTAGCGGACACCTGCCTGATCTCCAGATCAGCGATTGCTTCTCATCAGAAGGGAATGAGCGCAACAGCATGGACGAGGGCATGGTCTACGCCGTTAAGAAGCAGTACAAGGACCTCCTGGTTACGCAAGTTGACAGAAACGCGGGCGACCTAGTGATGATGTGTCCATCCACGTACCCGTACGGCTTGGACAAGATGTTTACCTGGAATACGGCGTATGACGAGGTGAGCAGCGGCGAAATGGAAATACTGAAAGAGCTGAAGCGAGATTTTGAAGCCCTTGGACTGCACAAGTTGGTGAACTGGAATTCAAAGGGGAAGATCGACAGTGCTTACGTGCTACCCAAGCACAAGGATCTTGAGCGATGGCGGCCCATAGCCCCTGCCAGCAGTGAACCCACTACGACTGGCAGTCGATGGATAGCGCGGGCACTCAACTACCTACTGGAGAAGCTTCTCGGAGCAGAACATTTCAACCTTACTGCTACAGCCTCGCTCAAGCAGAATTTGAAGAAAGCCGAGAAGAAGCTCCACATATTTGGAGAAGGAACAACGACGATATGCGGAGGTTTCGACATTAAAGAAATGTTTACATCCCTTCCGCATGCGGCCGTCATGGAAGCTCTATCCTGGTTGCTGGGCGAATGGGAGAAGAAGGGCTACCGTAAGATTACAGTATGCAAAAGAAGGAAGCAGGTGTCACTAGGTGCGAAGCTGTTTGGGAAGGCTTACGTTAAGCTTCCTTTCGACTTTATCCGGAGCTTCGTACTCTTTGAAATGCAACACACCTACACCAAGTGTAGAGGGAAGTTGCTCAAGCAGGTCATCGGAGTAACGGGGAAGAACAATAGTCCCCCATTGGCATGCCTCCTCTGAGCAAAGTACGAAGAAAGATTTATGAAGTCGTTGGGAAGTGATCGCAAGCTCGTCCATGGAGTTAGGTTCATGGACGATGCAATGCTAGCAGTTGCATTCAATAGAAGGAAGAAGAGGACAATCAGGAAGGCATTGGAGATAATGGAGAAGTTCGCGTGCTGTTATGGTGATAATCTATCGCTCGTCCGAACAGATGACGGATCTAACACCATCGATTTCGTCGGGGCAAGGATTATGAGCGTGCCAGGGAAAACCAAGTTCCTCATGGAACCGAAGATCAAGAATGAGCTGAAGAGCCAGATGGGAGTATTGCAACAGAAGCTCGTCTACCGTTGTTTTCAAGATTTCGACTCCTACTCCGACAAGCGTGCGAAGATTGGAGTGTTGATCGGCAACTTGTGTCGTATCCAGCAAATGGCAAACAGCGAGAGTATGATAGTCCCCCCTATTAGTCCTGCCGGTCTTGGCAATGAAGAACGAGCTTTTATGCCGAGGCTACCCCCCGACTTTCCAAGGGCATCGACGTTCTCAAGGAGAACTGGATGAGGCTACTTGAGTACCTGGTACAGGTGAATAACAGAGCGCGTCGGGGAAACCCTCTGGGGGAATGCAATTTTTGAATCTGGCATCGTACTTACGGATTATGCCAGACCGTAGTACCCGATAGTGTCGGATTACCGGAGTAACCCAAATATAAGCCGTAATAAAACGGCGTAGTAGAGTATATCTTTTTTGGGGGTTTCGTAGCTTGGGAATTAACGGATTTCGCACCTTTTATTCACATTTATTTTTGCATTTATTTTCTGCCTAGGAATTACGTTGCACCGCCACGGTAGCCCCACCACTGCCAGGAAGGTACTACCCGTACGTTCTCGAATTTTTTAGTTTACCCTAGGAATTACGTGGCAATGCCACGGTAGTCCCGATGCCAGAAAGGCAGCCCAGGTACGGTACTACCGGACTACCCGAACATTTATGAAAGAGCAGGAAATACGGACTTCGGAGTTTTGAAATTGTACAGGTCACGGTGTGTCAGATTTTGAAAGTACAGGTCATGCACGTACACACGTGTAACTGACTGGACCGAGGTGCCACGTACCAAGTTTGTAGGTGGGGATCCGCGACGCACGGATTAGTCCAATGGGAATTAGAACGGAGAATGGAGTGGGCCAATTGGAGCTCGTTGATAAGCGAAAGGAAGATTGAAGGAGGTATTTGATCATTGGAAAGGGACTTTAGTCACTACACGGTACCCCGACACGTGAACATGCGGGGAAAGCTAACCTGCAGGCCCAGTTGTCGCGCCGACAATTTAGACACGTAACGGACACTATAGCGTTCGGTGCAACGTCTAGGTGGCAGTCTAGCCGTAGCCGTAGTAGCTCGTGGGAGTGCCAGTTAGGGGCGGAAGTGTCGTGCTGACGAAGCGTCCTACTTGGCATTCAGTATATAGGAGGGCAAGGCCTGATCGGCCCTCAGTTCTCAGAAGGGAGGGAGGTGTGATCGGTGGCCCGCAAGGCGAGGGTGTGTGGAAAGCCCCCTGAGGAAGATCAGAGCGCAACCGATCGAAATGCATCGGGGATTGTGCACGTTAGTTGAGATGAGTATGCGCGGAATTGTAACGAAGAGTTTTCGATGCGTGTACGAAACGCAGTTGGCCACTGTTTACCACTATTCTTTTTTTTTTTTTTTTTTTTTTCCCTTTGAAAGGGTGGCAGCCTTGAGTATCATCGTTAAACGTCAGGGTTAGAACTCAGGTCTGTTTATCAAACAGTTCATAGGGTACCAGTCAGCCACGTGGGCATGGTTCCCCTGATGCCTTCTTCTTCTCCTTCCTATAGAACTACACTATATTCTTCTCTCAAATTCTTTCATCTTTCACTACCTACCCACCACTACTCCTAAGGCTATACAGAGGACCCCTGCGAGCATAGCTATCTACCTCTTCAGTGGAGGGAGGTGATTGCATGTTTGCCCCTTGCCCTAGTGTTTGAGTGTGCAGGGTTGGGGCCACCAGTGGGGGCCCGACTAACAAGGACCGAGCAATTGCCAGTAGTAGCGCCTCCGTTTTCATCTTCCCTCACCCCGAATAGAGTAACGGCACTGCGGTGTCTAAGGCCAACAATCTCCCGCAAAGAAGCTGAGCCAACACCCTCCCACACACCCCGCCCAACCTACTCACACTCGGACTCGCGCCACACGACTAGTACCTTTCCCGCGTGGGAAAATAGGGAAAACTGGCTATCCGAAAAATTCGGAGGCCAGGCCTGACGACAAACGAAACGACTGCCATTGATAAATCTGATCTGCGGCTGTCGTTTCGTTTGTCATCGGGCCCGGCCTCCGAATTTTCAGGATAGCCAGTTTTCCCTATTTTCCCACGCGGGAAAGGTACTAGTGGTTTACCGGCCAGGAGGATGCAACTGCTATCTCAGCTGGTTGGCTCAAGCCTACCACACGGGGATTGAACCCACGACCTCTCTCCAACACACCAGCTTAGCCAACACCCTCCCACATACCTCACACAACCTACTCACACTCACATTCATACCCTTGTTGGCTGAAGACCCTACTAATAAAGACCAGGAGGGAGGACCCAGCTGACCATATCTCAACTGCCAGGCACCAAGCGTACCACAGGTGGCCATGGGGATTGAACCCACCACCTCCTGAACCCCTTTGCATGCCTGACCAATTTGAGCTACGCCGCTGGATCCCCTGCTGCTTCCGTAGTGCAATGAACCCAGTCAGGAGAAAAGCTCAACAATGTCGAAGAACAGAAAGTCTCAGCGCATTTTCGATGTCTCCAATCGTATGAGGAATCAAGAGTCCAATGTCAAGTAACCAGAGAAGAGAGTGATGAGAGGGAGATTAGACTGAGAAGGTGGAAGAGAAAGTAACCATGAGCTTCAGCAGATAGATCTCCCTCTTGGCCCACTCCTCCTTCGGGCATCTCCTACTCACCACGTAAGCATACAGTTTCCTCTGGGACACACTGACATCGCACAAATCTCAACATGGTGCACATGGCGCAGACTCCTGAAGACAACAGGTAAGCTCTCCTTTCTTTACTCGACCAATCTCACAGCCGTGATCCTCCTCCTCCTCGCTAGTGTGGCAAGAGCCACGTCAGCATAATCAAGAGGAGAGATGGCGCCCAAGATAGAAGATGGCGCCAGCGCAGTAGCAGTCTCGCGTCGCCATCCAATATCAAGCTAGCGTCCAGCGAGCGTAGAGCCACCGTCAGCCAACGTCGAGCATAAAGTGCAAGACTGAATGTCAGTCAGCAGGGGCTGGGTCAACTTATAGTCTTGACCTGAGGTTGACCAGCCTCTGGTCTCTCAGATACGACGACCCACATTGACCCGCAGTCGTTGGCTTGGATCTCACACAGTGCAGATTCCCACTTGGACCGGGTTCTTGACAGATACCTGCAAACAGCCGAGTGCGTGTGTTTGATCGGTGGCCTGGGCTGGGTCTGTGTTGACTTTGACTCATGAGCCTGAATTTCCAAGCTGCTGTCAACCTTTGACTTTCCTTGGTCAACTGTCGCGCGTAGGGCTTTTGAAGCCCATTTTTGAGGCCTTGCTTCGGTACCTACAGCGGTTGGCCTTTGTTCAGGCTGTTTCGTGACATGGGGTGTGGCCGCTGGCCCCTGATTCGGCTCTTTAGATCGAGGTGACAACCTGTGGCTTGMAACTATAGCGTGATACGCATTTTTGAGGCCTTGCTTCGGTACCTACAGCGGTTGGCCTTTGTTCAGGCTGTTTCGTGACATGGGGTGTGGCCGCTGGCCCCTGATTCGGCTCTTTAGATCGAGGTGACAACCTGTGGCTTGAAACTATAGCGTGATACGAGCTGAGTTATTACATTCCACCGGGCCCAGTTTCGAGTTCCATCACAAAAACTTATTACTTTTAGGCTTGGTTATGTTTTAAGTCACGCTCGTTCGCATCGACAATATCAGGTGCAGTAACTAGTTCCTTCTTTGAGATAGGTTCAGTCTTGGACTGTACCTTATACTGCTTCTGAGTTTTTCGTTTGCCACCTGTAGAGAAGTATCCATGTTCTAGAATTCGTTCAACTTTGTAACCTCCTCTCAGAAGGAGTGTTCCGGAATTGGTTCAACTTCAGATGGAACGTGGTGATTATTTCACGGTCAAAATGATTTTTATTTGAATTTTTTGATACTTTTCCTTGAAAGATCACAACCTAATCTATGGACCCTCATAGTTTCAGAAATTTTGAAGAATTCTTATAAGCACGAAAAATCACCAAAGTTGAGGCTTTCGAATGGTGGGATTGGACCCGCCGGTGACGAACGGTCGCTGCCCCTCAGTAGAACCCGACCCTAGCTCACAGGGCGGAGGGTTTTCGGTTGTCAGTACCGATAATGTTTGTTGTGCAACAACGATGCACGCAACACCGCAAACTGTCCCACGAAAGCCAAGGGGAAAACCGCTTCGGGAAAGTACGCAATGCTGAGAGTGAGACGATTGCACTCCCGACGCCTTCGGAACCGGTTGCTGCGTGAGCGGCCGCTCTTAGTTCCGAGGCACTTGCGGAAATCGTAAGTCCTCTTCTTCATTCTTTCGAGGACTTTTCTGCCTGGCTCGTTCCATCGATGAGTTCTCTAGCTCAAGGACAAGGTGTGTGCGCGATTTCATCTCCCTCTAGTAGCAGCGCAAGCTCAACGCGCAAACCTTCAAGAATGTGGAGCCTCTTCCTCATATTGACGATCTTCTTGAGCGTTTGGGCGGCATAAAGTACTTTTCGAAGTTGGACTTGAAGTCGGGTTACCATCAAATTTCGGTACGCACGCAAGATCGCTCCAAATCCGCGTTTAAGACACGGTAGGGGGCATTTTGACTGGGTTGTCATGCCTTTTCGCATCACCAATACCCCGACGACTTTTCAAGCGGGGATGACCAACGAGTTTCGCACGATGTTTGGTTTACTTGGACAACATTCTCGTTTATAGCCGGACCTTTGAGGACCATCTCGAGCATCTTCGACGTGTGTTGGAGACACTCGGTTGCGCCAAGTACAGAGCGGACGGAGACAAGTACGAGTTCGTACGTTAAGAGTTGG